ACTCCCACACGCCAACCAATAGCAATGGTGAAGACGAAACCCTTCTTGATAGGATCTTAGAGGGCAAGGACATGGAGTGTACCAAGGACCGGAACCCTGCGCTGTGGATGCGGTCAACCGATGGAGACGAGTATACAGGCCCGTCGTCCGGCATCTCTACCATCTCTGACCTCGGATTGAACTGGGTACGGCATAATGTGCCGGACTCGCAAGTTCTCTGCGAAACCATCCAAGACATACGAAACGGCGTGCTCAGTCACCTGCGGCAACCTAAATGCGTCCCGCAAGTTCTGCCGCGGGTAGTATCGAGCCCTTGCAATCTCAAAGTTAAGGAGACTCCTAACCCGGAGGTTGTAAAATACATTGAAGAGTATTTTGACACCGTTCAAGTCATCTTCCCAGTCTTGGACCGGGCGAAGTTCTTCTCCCAGTTGGAAACATATGGAACTAGACAAAGCATATCAGAGAACCCATCTTGGCAGGCCTTGCTGAGTGCCGTGCTAGCATCCGGCTGTCGAGCTGCACTATCAGCTGAAACAGCCGAGGCCTTCAAGAAGTCGGGACAGGAAGCTTGGGGTTATTTTCAAAACGCTCTATCCTTTGAATCTTGCATCACGCATGGATCCACAGATCTCATGGCAGTTCAGGCCATTGCCATTATGACCATCTTTGCTCAAGGGCTATCAAGCCCACAGCGACTGGAGTACACCTTGAGCTCTATCGCAGCGCGACTAGCACAGAGCGTGGCGTTGAATCGTCACCCACCTCCAGATTGGAGTCTTAGTGAAGAGGAGCAGAGGGACCGTAATCGGGTCTTCTGGGTTATATATTGCCTCGACAGGACCATCTCCTTGCGCTGTGGTCGCCCTGCAGTGATTTCCGACGACGACATTAGCTGCTGTTTTCCGCGAGACGTTCTCGTCATCCAACACGGGAATTCCGAACCTGTCGGAGTCCCTGAGGTCGACTTTTTTCTTTGTGCAACCAAACTAGCACGTATTGCTGGGAAAGTCTCTCGAATGCTTTACTCGGTATCTGCATTATACACATCGTCTTCTCGCCTGCTTCCTGTGATGAACAGTCTCTTGAAAGAATTGCATGCATGGCTTAGCCTGCTCCCTTCTCCAATACGACCCGGACAGCCCCCAAATCGAATGACTAAAACCTTTGGCTTGTCACGAGAGCAGATAATTGTGCTTCATCTCAGTTACTACTACCTCCTGTGCTCTATTTACCGTAGATTTACTCCAATATTTACTCAAGATAGCGACAATTTGCAGCACCTAGTCAACAGTCAAATGCATTGTTCCCACATCGAAGCCGCAAGATCGATGGTGCTGCTTACGAAGCATCTCGATGTTGAGAGCTTCACCCCTGCATGGTACGTGATATAGATCTCATGGAAGATGTCCATGCATCTGGAAAGCCGCCTAAGAAATCCTTTCTCTGTCGCTAACATGCCCCTTATCCCAAAAGGCTCGTATTCTATTACCCTTTCACCGCCCTTACCACCATTTTTGTCCACATCGTATGCAACCCCCCCAGCGATACAACGCCAACTGACATAGCTCTCATGGAAACCGTTGTTGGCTTTTTCGGGAGACTTGAATATGTCACTTCGGGCGAAGCTGCCTTTACAAAAACAGCAGAATTCGTGCGGCAAGCTCGCAACATACACAACAAATACTCCAAAGACAGAGCCCAGGCCAGACAGTGTGAATCTATTCAGGTCCAAGGCAATAATCTTTCAATAGGGGTGGCGGGGCCATTTCAGCCCTGCATCAACATTGCCGACGACAGGCAGATTCAGATTGGTCAGAGGTTCGGGAAAAATTATGATGCTCAGATGTCTAGGGCAGACAATGGCCATATATCTGGGGAAACTCCCCCGCTTACCGGCCCCCTCCAACAAGAAGAGAACTCTGACACGCAGAGTGCGCATCCGGAGATGGAAATTCCCCAGGATGACCTGTCAATTTACTCTGAGCTGCTTAGCCTCTTAGCACCGCCAGATGGCGACGCTGCACAAGCGAGTTGGCTTAGGGATTGGGTTTCGGCCGTCTAGGTTTATCGGTGAGAAACGGTTTGGACTTTCATTTTTAGGCTCCCGGGAGCAGGCGAGCATGGAGTAGGCATGATTATGTTATTTATTCCCTTGAACAACAACTAAGACTGAACTAATAAGCGATGCGATGAATTGAGGGTTCAATTTGCATGTTTTCAAAACCGAGAACTTTCTCTTGCAAACTTGAGATACGACTAAATCCATCCAATTTGAAGAGTAGGATGTGCATTGGCTTCCTTTTGGGTAATATTAAGACAACTTTCCTTGGTTTCAATAGTTACGCCTTCCTAATCTGACTTTTACTTGCGTGTCGATTGAATCAGGATTCATTGTCTTGATCCTAACCTTTATTTCACGTTCGCCATTTGATGTTGATGTACTTATGTAGAGGTCAAGAGGACGACAAAGACGTGGGTGGGCCTACAGGCTTCGCGCTTCGTAGGAGCTGATTGTCTTCAACACGTCACATATCATACCTCTCTAGTCACATGAGAAATTACAATGAGTAGTAGATATGCGTCTATTTCGTAGTCACACTCTGGTCCTTGCGTCAATAGGCTGGAGTATGAAGCCTGTAGCCGAGCCCGTCCGAAACCGAGCCCGAACCCGTGCGAACTCTACTATCTCCATACAACCACACCGTTCAGCCAGCTTCACCTCATGACGGCCCACCAAGTCTTTCTGGAGCGGGGATTACATGCTCGCGAGATCTGGCATTGGCCTCGGCCCGATCTCGATGCGTGTCTTGAGAATACTCTCTTCAGTCCCCGCTTGTAACGCCAAGATCATCTCCTCGGGGTCAAAGTCTGTACCAATTGGATTCTCCGCGAACTTATCGCCCATCATGAAATTCGTGGCCTCTTGCAAGCTGTAAAAGTTATCCACTTGCGTCTCGATCATATTGCCGTCCGGGTCTTTGTAGTAGATGCTGGTTGTCGGGCCATGGTTAACGCACCAGACTGGTTTGATACCCCGCTCCTTTCGGTGCCGGTAGGCCAGAAGCAACTCATTCAGGGACTTAAAGGAGAAGGCGATATGCTCTAAGCCACAGGTTCTGGGATTTTTCGGCTCTGTACCTGGAACTCCGAGGAGTGCGATTCTGTGATGTTCTTCATCGTAGGTGATGAAAGTAATTGCGTTGTTACCATATGTGACTGTGCCACCTAGGAAGCTAGTATAGAAATCAACCATGTTCTCAAGGTTGGATGTTCGGAGGACCACATGAGCTAAGGCTGAAGGGCTTAGCACCTTGGTAGCAGGGGCATCAAAGTTTGGTTTTGCGGTAGCAGACATGTTGGGCTCAATGTAGAATTTTGGGTAGAGTGGAGGCTAGTTTGAGAGGTCTGATCTTTCGCGATATAGATGCCACTGGCTGGTCTCATAGATTAATATATCTGGCTTACCAACGGGATGAGATGTCTTGTGATCATATTTACCGACTCAGGTCGCGCCGAAACCGACCCCATGCAGAGCGGCGACGGAGATAAAGGGGAATGACCGACGGCAACGGGGAGATGTCATTTGGCTACTGCCGTCGGTTGAGGCGACAATCGGTGAATCAAGTAATCGCGCGCTCTCAAAGGCGTATTGATGACCTCTGCATAATCCGTTAGCGGAAGAAGACTAATGGCGCTCAGATTTATCGTTTCTCCATCCTCCTATTCTCCCCATTTCTCTCCCCTCGCTTCTCTTGTTACATCTGTAACTAGTTCTATCAAGATCACAACCTAGCTATGAGCTACGTCATAGAAAACACTACCTGGCTTTCAAATGACATTACTCGAAATGTTAAAGACCTTGTTGCTAAATTTTATAAACTTGCAGACTCCAAGTCAGCGACATGTGGTAAAACAAGCATTCTCAGGGATTGACACTTCAATGGGGTTGATCATTCTTGGAACAGTATATATAGACTTTGTTAACGGCAATATCCTCGATGGTCCATTTTCTAAAGTAGCCAGGCAAAAGGCCCTTCAGAATGGATGCGGCCCAAATCTTCTAGAGCCAATGAGCTATCGAATGTCCCATCACAGCACTAGTGATCATAGCTCCGCATACCTCCGTGCGGATGAAGTTGCATTATAGAAGGGGCCATCTCAGCGAGACTCGATTCTGCGTCTACGAGAGTAGTTGGAGCACCAGTGACTCTGGAATGCTGAACAGGACAGAGACTCAGAAGGCAAATTCGCCAGGATGTCGCTTCGGCACTGGCTTCGGCCGAGAAAGAGAAGAAGCCATATCTTCGCTCTATATTCACTGACGTTTACGCAGAATTCACTGAGGAGGTAAATGCGCAGCCGCAAGAACTGAAGAGAATTATGATAAAGCGCCCTGCTGAGTATAACATCGATGCCCATGTAGATGGAATTTCCGACTTGTAGTTTGGTGCAGAGCTAGTGTAGGTACAGGCGTGTCATTTTTCTCATAGTACCTTCTGGAATGTGAATTAATTAAGAAATATCTTAGTAGAGATAACAGAATGTTCGGCCCTGAGCTAGAGGCTGCGTATCATCTGGCCCGCATCATTAACGGACTCACGGCTGTCCTCATATAGCTCAAATGCGTTGTTAATACCTGGTGGCCTAACTGCAAGGCAAACCATGACATATATTCTAGTAATTTATTCCGGATATGAGTAACAATCGGCATTGCTCAAGTTGGTGTCAGCCACTGTGTGAGATTCAATAACGCGAGTGCATTGCATCCTGGAAGGCCTGGGTCAACGGCTCGAAGAGTCCGATGTCTTTACTCCTAAAGTTCCTAGTGAAATAGACTACTGGAACTCACATTCAAATAGCAGTCTTAACAGCCATAGGGTTTAGTTGTAGCGGATAACAAGAGACTATAATCTGGAATACCGCAACACTCGTTGGTGTTAAACTTAAACAACAATCAAAACATCGTTGAAGGTCAAAATGACTGTTGCATAAATCAATCAATCTTGGTCTGTGTCTGGCATCCATGTGCTAAAAGCCATGCCCTCAGGAACCTTCTTCCACTGCAATGTGTCCGGGTCTAAAAACTGTTTGCATTCTTCAACTGAATCCCTAATGATTTGAGCTTTCTCAGGAGAGCGAGGCTTGATAATAGCAGGGAAGTCGGAAGGCTGGACCGTGATTCCTCCAACCAAGTCTTCGATGTCGTATTGAGCTGGAACTCCTTTAGCGTCCACCGGCCGTTCGAAATTGAATGCCCACATCAGTCGGGAAATCCCTAAAAAGAGCGATCGTTCGGCGATATGAATCCCTTGACAGAGGCGGCGGCCCGCCCCAAACACAAAGTTATCTCGGTTCTTTGTATTCCCAACAGCAGATTGGTATAAAGAAGTATCGTCGCCTTTGAAGCGTTCAGGGTTGAAGACTCTGGGGTTCTTGGATCGCTCTGGATCCATGTGAATTGCCCTGAAATGTATTATTAACTTATGATAGCTAACCAGGGTCTGCTCTTGCCTTACCAAACATTGCTTACGACGGTTGCACCCTGTGGTATGACATAGCCATTGTACGTGTCTTCCTTGATGGCGGCATGAGGTACCCCAAGAATGACAGTTGGCATCCAGCGAAGACTCTCCTTTATGCAGCAACGAATGTATGGGAGGTTCTCATAGTCATCCATCGTAGGAAGGCGGTTGGGGCCCACGACTCGATCAATCTCTTCTTGAGCCCTTTGCTGGACTTCAGGCCAAACGAGAGCGGCCTGGATGAAACCATACAAAGTGGATGCAGTGGTGTCTGAGCCCGCTTCTAGTAATGAGCCACTGATGTATCCCGCGGCATCATCGCTGAATCCTTCTTGCGACTGAACTCTGTAGATATCGTTACAGAAACAAGGCTACGATTTTCGGTTAATAAGGAGTTGTCTAATGCTATGATGCTTCTGTATAGCTTCAATTATACGTACCAAACCTTTGCCACTGTCAAGTGCCTTCTTTGACCTCATCCAGTGGCCGACGTAGTTCCTTCTTTCAATCTCGAAGAGCTTCTTCGCGTAATTAACGTTCGGCGTCATGAAATCCGGTAGATATTGAAGAACCGGGAAAAGGTCTGCTATCTGAGCACTAGAACTCCCTGCAAGCTTTCCCCATTTCTCGAAGCTCTGCCTGTGTTAGCGAATCATAAAGTGAAAATAATAATTAATAATTGTCTCACCTCAAACAGTTGCAAGAGATTTGGGTCCCTCTTATTGACGCAGCGGTAACCGAAAATCATTTGGGTAGAAAGTGAGTACGTGAATCGTCGAATATGTGCCAAAAAGTCAGCCGGGGTATCGAGAAGACCTTCCAAAAGGAATTTGTTTTCGAGGTCTTGATAAGGGACGTAGGTCACTGCAGCCTTGATATTCATTATGTTGTGTATCATTCGGTGGATCATGCGCCAGTTCTCGCCATACCTCTACATAACTGAACGTAAGCATATTATCCGTCCATGCTATCGAGATACTTACCATGACAACAAGTCGAAGATTTCCGCTGGCAATCTTTTGTCCAATGAACATGTCAGGCCTGTCTGAATAGTTTCCGCTCTTCTTTACCAGCACATCTGAGACTGCATCATCTGAAGAGAGTACGATCATGACCTTCGTTCCAAGAACCAGGGAATAAATGGGTCTATCAGAGCGAGATGTTAGTGTTATGCTTCGAGTTGTGGCTGTGCAGTAAGTACCCATATTTTTTGGCCCATTTCTGCAGTTGAACATGTGGTCGAAAAGTCGGCATCTAGTTGAGTTAGCGAAACCCAAATCTGGATAGAGAAAGGTCAAACGAACAAGATGCAAGTTTCCCAAAAGCGGCAGCGTTGGCGGACCTGGCGGTAGATTCGAGGCCCTGGATCCAACGCCCCCCACTTTGAACAGACAAAACAACACCGAGAGAGAGAGTACAAAGGTGAGGATGAGATCGTGGGCCATTTTTCCGTTGAATCATATGAGTGATCTAACGCTAATTTTTGTTGTGAGTCTAGATTTATTCCTCTGTGTCAGACCGTTAAGGCTTAATCGTAAACCCAGACGATTAGTTTAAGTATTTGAACACACTACCTAGCAACCTAATGGCTGATTCATATCCTTTGATTGATCCAGAAATATGACGGTATGCCCAAAAGAGCTGGTTATTCCACAGCAGATGCGGGGAAGCTGGCTGTTTACAAACACTGTTTGTATTATTCGTGTTGGATGGGACTGATCTGAGACCGATCTGGGATAGAGCCCCAGTACTGTCACGATGAACCCGCGGTCTTAAAAGCCTGACTAGACTAGACCCGGGTTGCGAAGCCGAGCCCGGGCCGGCCAAGCAGTGTACAGTTCCGGGAGGAAGCGACGGGGTTACCGCTTTTGACTTGCATATCACAAACGTCCATGCAGGTTACATGCTTTCATGCGAGGGTGTGTAACATTTCTGAAATATTTGTGATTAAGCCCCGGGAATGCGACCCCCGGACAGGGATTATATTATTCAGGCTTATTAAACACGGCTAATAACGAATTAGATTTCATTGATCGGGCTTATCTCTGGCGAGGGCTGCTAATAAGGGTACCCGCGGCAAGTTGCAACTACATGCTTATCTCATATGACTGAAAGGAAGTGCAATTGGTGCATATGGTACCTGGGCCTGACTTGTAGAGAAATTATTTTGACCCTCCTGTATCGACTTCCATCAATCAGGAGCCACAGTCGTCTGGACCCAGAACGGAATTGAAGGAAAATTCGAAATCTTCTTAATGATAACCAGTGTTTCTATGCACTAAGTAGCAGATGAGGGCGGGCGGAGATTCTGGATAAGGAAGGGGAATGAAAGAAAATCAGGAGGTTACAGCAACAAAGGAATGTTCGCAACATATAAAGTCCTGTGGGAAACTTAGAATAATACGAGTGGTATGAAAAAGTGATAGGAGGATATTAAGAGAGATAGAAATTTACCAGTACCATTGACCTAGCTAAACAAATACTAGCAAGCTCAAATGTTCCGAATCGGTGCAGCAACCAACCATAAAGCATCGATAAGTCTTGCAATACGATATACAGCGTTTTCAAATTAAGTTCGAAGTTTACTCTGCTGGCTTTCTATCTCAGCCACGACTGGGGGACGCCCATCAAATTGCGCAGCCATTTCCACACCTGGGCTGAGTTGCTCAAGAGGCCCGGATACTTCTGTAACCACCGGCAAGTGAGTGCATTCGGCTTGACCAGTAACGATCCGGAGGATTTCATAAGCCTCTTTGATAGTATCAATCTTGTCAGATCTCCAGGCAACATGCTGGTCGGGACGAATGAGCACCAGATTTCTTTCATAGAGGTTTCGAGCATATTCCTCCTTCGACAAGTCCACCAGCACGAGGGGCAATGAGGAGTCAGTCGCTGCATTCACTATGTGGCGTTGACCGACGTCACCCACAGTGAAAACCAAAAGCGTCCAATCTTTACCAAACTTATCAAAAATAGCAGTTCCATCCGAGAGAAACAGGTGGGGTGGCCGACCTCCAGGCCATGTCGTAGGTATGTAGTGCCGGGGGATGAATGGTGGCTCGTCGCCATCGCTCTTGCTGATCATGATAAGAGGAGATGAGTATCGATAGCCCATCTCAATGCCATATTCCTTATTCTCTCCATCATTGATCTGGTAATACTCGTGTAGCTTCTGCCGCAAAGTGCGACCTTGATCGGTTTCGGAGTCCAGCCGGCGAGGGTCGCCACCTCCTATCATTTCCTGGAGTTGGCTGTGAACTTGGAAGTGAATTCCCGAGCGTTCGACGTTTCGAAGAGCGACAGGCTTTCGTTCCAACTCGTATGATCGGAGCAATCCGTCGCCTCCGTGCCCATTGATAACCGAGGCGAGTTTCCAACCCAGATCGAAGGCGTCGCCTATTCCCATATTCATTCCATAACCTCCAGTTGGGATATTCTGATGCGCCGAGTCTCCCGCAAGGAAGATTCGAAGCGACGGGCTGCTCCAGCGACGTGTGACCGCAATAGTTGGTCGCCAAACAGATCGGACCAATATCTCGTCAACCGTAATTCTATACGGCCCATAGACGCCGCCAAGTGCGCGGTAAATCGCATCATGGGAATCGATCTTCTCAGGCTCTGCATCCAAAGGCAAAAACAGATGGATGGTCCATGTATCCTTCTCGTCCTGGGATATTATGGCTGCTTCAAATCCTCCAGACTCACCGAGGAAAAACATATGCCAAAATTGCCCTTGCTTGTGAAGGTGAGCCAAATCCCTGGATTTAAAGTGCACCAATAGGGCACATGATGGGCTGCAGGCCTTTAGTTAGTTTCCGTTGATTGCGAAGAGGCGTTGTGTTTATTGACTCACATTGGGCCTCCATCCACAGAGGTTGAGAGACAACCGCGAACTCTACTAGACCCCCCGTCGCATCCTGCCATGTACTCAGACCTCCAAAGCGATTGTTGCCCAGTCTTAATGTTTGTGACCACAGTTTCTACCAAGTTCTTCTTCTCCTCGACAGACTCAACCTTATATCCGTAATTCAGGTCAATCAAAGGATCCTCGTCGCAAATGGCCTTGAGCCATTTCTCAAATATCGCTTGGGATATTCGTTGCCACGGCTCCTGGGGCTGAGTGCCGTCGTTCGTCTGTCGAATCTTCTCCCGGAATTTGGTTACTCCAGGCAATGCCCAGCTGGTAATAGGAGTGTTTGCAGAAAGGCCGCTTGAGATCAAGACGTTCTGGTCAATGTCAGCTGCTACACCTTGCCTCCGCAAGTCTTCCTCCAAGCCAAGTTTCCGGAAAATCTCCATTGATCTTCCGTTAGTAAGATCCATCTTAGGTCACTTTGTCGTGGACTCGTTGCGTTCAAACAACACAGAATTGACACCATGGAAGGAAAGAACACGTGCCAGCAGTAGACCTATTGGCCCTCCACCTGCGATAACGACGTATCCCGAAGGCAAATGGTATGTGAGGCGTTCGGAAGGTCTTTGTGAATGAAACATGTCGATGATTCAGGGCTCTAGTAAGAGATCAAGATACAACTTGAAAATGACTAATTTGGAAGAGGCAGTACGGAGTCAAGACGTTTATCAAGGCTATCAAATACTATACAGCCCCGAAATTGCGAATCAAGCCACGCTTATCGCCCCTCCATACTCAAACGTTTTATGGATCTCTAGACGGAACACTCCTAATGGACCTAATGGATGAGCTTTAGGCTCAACATCGGCCATAGCCGAAGGTGCCTGGCTGTTGTGGCATCGTACAATCAGAAGTGCCCATTTACGCAATGCCACTTCCAATCGTATAATTATCCGGGCTTCTTGATTTGCACAATGACATGACGTCTCCTTCAGCCCCAGCCCGAACCCGAGTGTGTGGAGACTGCCGGCCACACCGAATGGGGCCGAACCCGATAGAATGCATTTTGCGGGAAACATTTTCCACGGCAATCACCCTCCAGCGCGCAAGTCTGATGCCGAGAGAATGGAACCAGTTTCTTCGTCTTATGAATTCTATTGAGTGTCTTGTTTTACCCTACGAGATGATATGTCCAGGTAGTGACGCAGATTTGCGACCAATACTAAACTGTTATTATGAGGTAGGTCCTACACACAAAGCTCCTGGAGTATAAAACGAGGATACGAGTCGACAGAATAAATTAAGTCTACCTTACTGATAGTTATCGCCGATGGCTATATCCCCTCGGATACTGTTTGGGGGATCTCCAATGAACCTTAGGTATATCCTTCACAGAGACAGCGAGTGGCCATCCAGGGCACCAAGTCGTCGTAGTGGCGAAGCTCTTTCAGGATCCCATTGGGGCGGGGATAGATGCCTCTAATAAGATCAGCGCACCGGTACCAAGATTGAAGTCCTCCTTGCGGATCTAGCTCGTGCGCCCTCCAATCCGAATGCTACGCTCAAAGACTATAACGTCGCATTTTTGTTTGCGGAGGGTGTAGGCGGCTATGCAACCAGCTACTCCCCCGCCGATCACGGCTTCTTTTTTCGAATAGGCCTTCTATTACACAAGAAAGAAATCAGAAAGACAAAAGAAGAGAAAAATGGCAAAAAGCGGTACAAGGCAAGGAGATCGTGCAGCAACTGTTCGAAGAGATCTTTCAGTGCTCAGTTTTGAAAGGAGATGGAAAACCGATGAAGTAAAATAGCCTCGGCAGCGTGAAGGGAACATTCTATAGATTTAGCACAATTAGATTGTTTGAGGAATGGTTTTTCTCCTCAACGATTTTAATATACCTTCTACCCCTTTAGTATCTATTCTACTGAATACACAGTGTTTCTTTCCATATGTAAATAACGAGCCAGTGTCTTGCTTGACAATTTCACATCCTGGATACTGCGGGCCCAGACGCCGTGGATTCAGACTCTTGGCTAGCGTTCAGACGCCCGGACCCTATTTAGTGGTTCAAGAGAGTAATAGCTCTCAATGAATCAAGCCCCAATATCAAACTTCTTCCTTTCCTCCTTTGTCATCTTCCTCGGTTTCTCGATTCTGTTGCCCTTTTCATCCTTCGGGCCCTTCAAAACATTGACCGCTCTTAGGGGTTTTATAACAGCGGCTTTAATCTTCTTAATGGCGTCCCGCTCCCGGAGGGTAAGAAAGCCAGTGTCCTCATCCAGCGCCCTCTCAAGAAGCTCCCCGAATTCTCGCCTCTCCAAATCTCGCCTTTGAAGGTCAGAGAATGAGCCAGCGATGGCAGATCCAAGGAATGTAGCGAATAGAACGATTGAGAATCGCATTGTGATAGAATGTATAGCTCTGAAGGATATAGTTCCAATAGGTCAGGCGAGTAATGCTGAACTGAAAGCTGATTGTAGCTGACCGGTAACTTGTAAGATGGAGGTATTGGTAAAAGGAAGAACTGAACAAAGCCAGTAAGTAATTGATGAGTTTTCTATGTTTGTGCTGACTCTTCAATATGCTTCCAGATAGCGGCCTTTAAATACTTATTTGTTCGTCACGAACTTGTTGTTTACAATAGCCGGTATGAGGTCAGCTTACTACGTAGCTGAAAAAAAGACCCTTGCTAACCCGAGCGCGTCTGCTTGATAAGCACGGGAAGCCCTGACGCGTACCGATGAAAAGAAATAGTCATAAGCATTACCGATAGATCAGTAATAATGAAATGGAATAGCTGTAAGCATTACCGAGAGATCAGTCATGATATCAATTATCATTTCAGCTGAAACTGCCGCCGTAGGTATTAATTCCGAGCATGCCCATGGTTACCAGGGTATATATATAGCAGCGCTTATTTCTGCTGTTAGTCTCTCCCTTGAAATTCAACTATCGAAGCCCATTGCTGAGCCTAAGTTAAGTTTTTTCCCTGTTTCTATCGGTGGAATTATGTGTTTGTAAAGTCCACCTAAGGCTCACAAGCGTCTGCCCGGCAGTCTTATGTCTTTATTGCTTCCCCTGGTCCAGGTTAATATGTTGCAAGCTTACCTCGGAAATCGATCACGCGATGGCCAGGGCAAGCAGTCAGCACTAGTCTTGAATAGATCCTTGAAGGGATTGGCTTGCCGCCGGGTGGGACTATCGAAGTATAGAAATCTTTGACTAATTTTGTTGAGAGCACTGGGGGTCAGGTCTGGCTCAGTTCCGCAGTCTCGAAGCCCACCTTTAGACCTGACGGACTAGTAACTAGCGCTTTAGTCTGCGGAAAGGACGGCCCAGAGATCTAGTTCTCCTCGAAAGCTACGCTGGCAAGATATAGTATCGGTAGGACCTAGCGGCCATTATCACCGTGTACTTCACGAGTAAGAAATCTCTCGCCTGATTCCCATTCCTCGCCATTATGGGAAAGACTCGCCACGTGGTTTACGCAAGAAACTTCAGTGCCCCCGGGCTACAACGTGCTCCAAAAGGTGGTACCTGTATTATGATGCCTGTGTCCCTGTTACTTGAACAGCCCACTTCGACAGAGAGAAGGAAACAGAGTTGCTCCTCGCCGATTTACTTGATCAACTCCCGGGCTTCAACAAGGCCAGGATCATATTCATCAACGCCGCCGCCCATTAATGGCCAGCTTAATGTGCTATATTTGGTTTCAACGAATCTCACATCACTCCTATTACATATTTTTTTAACGTTGGAGATGGCGTTAAGCCACGGGCGTCTGCAGGGACTGTTGCATATGTTCAGTCTGCGTAGCTTGTTTCTAATCGAATTTCAGAGAAACTTTCGTTGAAAGATCAAATACAAGAACTAATTATTACCTGTCTGACTCCTTTCAAGGTTAGACAGACTCAACCGACGGAATAGGACACTCCCCGTATCTCGACTGAACGCCTAGGACTTTAGCAATCCCAAGACACAAATCACGCAGTGCAATTAACTCCCCCCGCGTGCCTCCATTGAACAGAAATCCCTTCATATGATGCTGAAGCTGGTTCGGACAGTCCATACCATACAGCGCCGAGACCATCGCTAATCCCGTTGTCAGGGGGTCGACCACGCCGTCGTATGAAAATACTCTAGCGTATAGAACATCTATGGAGTCACTCAGCCAGCTTTCTAGATGTATAACATGAATGTCTCAACGTACCTCTTACAACAAAGGCATAATCCGGGCTAGCCCTGACGGACGCCTCGGGATCGAATGCTGGATTTCTCGCGTATATGTTTTTCCAGAACTGACGGCCGCGTTCCACTGCAAACTCGTGCGTCTCATTAGCCCGTCCCGAGCTCTTCTCTCGGTACTCCTCTGGCACGCATTGAGACAGTGTCCGCATCGCGTTGCCTGTTCTGGCTGCGCCAGCTATGCCAGTCGATTTGATGAGACCTTCTCTAATAGTTTGTATGGCGTTGAACCGCTGAGCCTCGGCAATGCCATGCAGGAGGTGGTCTTGCAGGTGCTTGTAGACCTGGGGAATGACGTCGGGATAGTTCAAGGAGGACAGGTTGATAATAACGCACATGTACCAACGGATCCTGGCTCCATCATCTTCCCTGGTAGCCAGGCTGTCCCAAAAAGTATCGGGGAGGGTTGGTGTTGTCGCCGACATTTCTGAAGAGGTATAGACTAGGTAGGAAGCAATTGATGCCAAATCTGACTGGCAGCAGCTGCGATTAATGGGCACACGGTCGGCACAACCTGTCGCGGTGCCGAGCCTTTGAATGCCGCCGGGAATCAATGTCCGGCATATGTCCGAGTCCGGCAAACATGATTTACCACGTCACGCAATAGAAACCTTGAACCCTTGACTCGGTCATGAACAACAAGCAATGTCACATCTTTTTGAAACCTTACCCAGAATATTCGATTCGCTATCATGTATATCCTTTCCCCAATGAGCAACTGCGCGTCACTCGAGAAACGCGACCGGGTGAGTCATGACAAGGGCAGTCAATGTGCTTCCAGTGACTGACGGAGATCAAAGTTTCTAGAGCACATAGCTAAAATTGCACCCATCACACAACGCACCGAGGTGGACTGCCTAGGCTATGCATGGTTCCGCAGCGCCGGCGATAACGATGTTGTCCCGCATCATTGGCTGAGGGGACTGGAGATGTAAGCTATTTGTACTTGACCATTGTTGAAGAGAGATGGGAGAGGGTAAAGTAAATACAATCCATTCTTCCAATCGCTGACATTGTTTAAGATACAGAACACCCCAAGCGAACTCAGTGGATCATAGAGCAAGCGAGGAGTACAAGGCATTCCGTGCAGCTGTCGCCGGCGAATGTCTGCTATCGAGGCCGAGTGATCTCCGATTTTGGAGACCCATGGGCATCGGCTATGATAGCCGTGAGGGTGGCTTGGACTTGGCAGTGAGAGCACAAGACAGACCCCGATACGCCGTCGTGCACGAGCTGGAGTTTGATGCCGATTGTCGCGGGGTTGTCAAAGCGACTTTAGCAAGACTGGCAGGCCAGGCACTGGAAACCCCTGCGGTGCTGAGTTTCTGGCCCTTGGGCCGCGAAGAGGAAGATGGGGGATCTACGCTCGTATTCAGCCTCTTTTACGACAAGGAAGCTGCCGAGACATTTGAGTCTGCTCCGAACTCGTGTGTTTGGCAGAAGATTGCGGGTTTGTGCAAAAGCCAGCGAAGAACAACATGGATTGAATGTGGTATTGGCTTTATAGGAAGGAAGTAATGGTCAGGTTATGGTTCGCTCAATCGCCAAAGAACCACCTAACAGCAAAACTATTTATGAATACTGATCTCCTATAAAGAGACTTACTTAATAGAGAGAGTTATATTCTGAGTGAACTCGGCTGATAAGAGGGTTAGGTTCATGTAATCATAACGCAAAAGTTATACAATTTAATTTAGTACATTCAATACTCCTGATAACGAAATAAAAGTACTTGAAACACATCTTCCTGCTTGCCGAGTACCCACACACTATAGGATCGCAACCGCATTGGGAGGCGATGCAACCGCACCAGAATAATTAAGCGGTGCTGAAGTGAAGAAGAAGGAAAACTTCCCTCGGGCCCTGCACGCATCCGCCAGAGCATCCAAGGCGAAGAGCTCGCCTATCGGCGTGCCCCATCCAGCCAGCAGGATCGGGTGCAGATGCCACTCTTTGTTATTCGGGGCTGGTAGACAGATTAGCCACTGGGCAGTTTCGAGAAAGATGGTGGAGGGCTATAACTCACGTCGAACCTCGAATCCAGGGGAGTCGCAGGCCACCGCGGCAAATTGGCGCTCCCACAGCCACTCGGTCGTCTCGCGACTCTGAGCAAGGCCACACCATTCCCTCACACCGGCCACTTCGACGCGGCGGTCCTTTGAAAGCTGTCTGTACGCATCAACGTATCCCGTGCGAAGGAAGAGTACATCTCCCGGTTGGAACTCAATCTTAGACTCCTCTGCGATGGCCTTTACAACGTCGACGGTGATTCCGTGGGGGGAGAAATGGTCAATGGCAATTTTCTCCCGCGCCGCGTAGGCAGCATAGTCAATGAGTACACCTCGACCCGCCAACCCCTTCACAGTCCATCCTTGGAGATCATTGACCGATGTCCTTGGGGCTGCGTGGATGTCTTGCTGTGTCGCCCTGCGAGCACGTTTTAGCTAAACGACCTTCTTCTCGCCGACCGTTATGTGACGCACCCGTTGTAGAACTTCTGATCCTTTTGGTATGCGAAATGACGCAGGCTGTCCCACTGGGAGCTGCCCTGTGTGTTGAAGGTAATCTACAGCAGTGTTAGAAAAGCGGCGAGGCGGCTGAATGGGACGGGCTTACGATATCGTCGTTGACAACCAGGGGAGCCTTGTCAATGACCTTTTGCTCGAACCCTACCCGTCCAAGTAGGGGCGGGTCGAAGAAATCCAGCGGTAGGCTGTCGTTCACACGCTTAGTACTTGTCTGCGATCGTGGTGCAAACAGTACCTACTCTAAGCCGATCCTCGCACCTGTCTGTACTTCCTCGCGGAGAGTCTTGAGCACGAGCTCGTCGGTCAGATAGTTGAGCGAGCCGAGAGAGCTGTCATGTCCTTCCCAAAGGCCCCATGCGGAGTGAGGCGGGTCACCCTCGTTTAGAGGCAGTTGGTCCAGCGGGGGGAGAGGGTTCAGCTTGGGAGGCATTGTGGCGGTGAGATGGTGGACTATGGCATACCCTTCTGCAATCCCCAGCAATCTCGCCAGTATTTCTCCTCGATGGCCATGCTATGAGCTGAGAAATTATAGCAAGGTGGATGTGCTGTGAGATCCGGACAATGATATCCGTTGGTGGATCTTCCAACAGGAGTCCAGCGCAATGGTGGATACATTCTGCGTCGTGTGTGGGACTGGTGAGGACCAGCGGGGTGAGTACGGACATTGATCAATAATCAGGTATACCATTATGCGCATGGAGGGTTGATATCTGAAAGGCTACCCCCGTGGGGGGTGAGGGGCGATAAATATATCAGTATTTGGTGATTCCCCCCTCTTCGAACACAATCAACCATCTAGAAAAGAGCTGAGAGCGATCAATTCAATTATAATGGCTTCCCCTGGTATCCTCATGCGCCTCGCCCAACCCGCCGAGGCCAATGGCGATGCGCAACCACCATTAGCCCCGGTGCCCAATGTTACTTCCGTGCTGCAGCTCGAGGCAGACGACGGGGAAACGCCGCAGCTCAACACCTTATACTTTCTCGGCGATATCAGCCCCATCCTCTCAAGCGCATCGTATTTTGAAAAAGACACCGAGGCAAGCCAGGGTTCAGTCGCCTGGGTCGTCCTGTCATTCATCAACGGCCGGGAGAGCAACGACCCGACCAACGCATCGGTTCCCAACAACCTCAATTCTCCCCCGGCTGCGAATTCAGTTGTCGTGGTCAATGGCTCGACACCTCGTAAGGACAAAGAGCAGGACTACCATGACTGGTATGACCAGGAGCACGGATTGAAGCTCAGCGCCGTCCCTGGATGGAACTCGGCGAGGAGGTACCGCCTGGTGAAGTCGTACGGCTCGGTTGAGACAGCCAACTTCTACGGTGTCAATTTCTACGATGCTGAGAACGGGCTTGGGGGGCCGGTGTGGCAGGCCGGGGTGACGACGGAGTGGACGCTGAGGATCAGGAGCAACGCGGCTAAGCCTAATATCAGGAGGATCTGGAAAGTCAGGGAATAGATGATGCGGTCGATTTCTCAGTGTTATTCTAGTAGCCTACAGTGACCACTATGAAACTTCGGGATCAAAAAGTAAATTAAGGAGCAAACAACCCATAAAGTGTATCCTGAGAGGTGAAGTCCTCCTCCCCATCGAAAAGGCCGACTGTGTCGGCTGATACAGTCCCATAGCCAGAGTCCCAGGTACTAACGTCGGGTCCAAAGAAGCTGTCGAGCCCAAAGTTGTAGATACTGGATCCCCCCGAAGTATGGGGCGACGGTTCCATTGGGTCGTGCTGCTCGTTGAAGCAGGTGAGCAGGCTGTCGTCCAGGCTGGGTTGGAGGTTCTTCATCAGATCCGACGAGTCTCCCTCAATGGTGCTCAGCCTGAGTTCATTCACAATCTCTTGCAGGATGGCTAAAGGCTTCTTCAGGCCAAAGTTACATCCCCTCATCAGTTCGTTTAGACACGTCCAAAAGAAGGATATTTGCTCTGTGAACCGCCCCCGTTGGATTCCTTCGTGGTGGAGGAACACGGTTGCCGCTGAGTATACTGCGTAAGATAACAGAAACGGGGCGCGTCGCAGGCTAAAGGTGTCTCGATAAAGGCGGACCAGGGCCTGGATGGATAGGGCACTCGCCAAGCAGATTTGCTCTGCTTGCTTCTTCTGGGCGTAGTCAGAGCATCGTCGCAAGTGGCCTTCCTCGAGGAAAGCCCTCTGGATGAGAATGGTCAATGCGTGATATGTCGTGCTGTAGATCGTTAGCATGCCTGAGCGGTGTGTAGTCAGTAGGATGCGCCTTACTGGGGTGTGATTTGGTGAGGCGGCGGCACTGGTGATCGCTCGAGGGGGGATCTCAGATGGGCCGGCAGTGACTCGTTCCACATCTTCAAGTCTCCTTCTATGCTCCTCCTCTTTTCAAGGATCAAGTCGTTGCTGAGCTGCATTATGCGAATATCGTAGAGTTCAGTGATTTTTGTGGATATATGCAGCAGCCTCGCAAGCCACAAAAAGGTCGAGATACTATACGCTGGCTGAGAATCATATCGCGGCTGCGTCAGCGATGGAGAGACGGGGTCGACGTAGGGAGACCATTCCTCCAGCTCCTCAAAGGTGTCGAGGAGCTGGAGAGGTACACGCGCAGCCACCGACGCTAGCATGCAGGGCCGACCAAGATACAGTGCCTGTGTTGCGTCGGTGAGGTAGGCTCCCCAGTATAGCCTCTTTCGGATCTCCCGTTCCAGATCCTGCTCTAGCTTTGCTCCGCGTTTTGAATCATCCGCGTCTTGGTAATCTGGCCCGAGCATCATGTGGCAGCCAAGGTCCAACACCATTCGATATGCCATGCCCGACAGATTCCATCCAGCGCTGGAATGGCCTTGAGATATCAAGGTGGCGCTTGTCAATAGCAGCGCGACGGCGGACGGGATGCTTGGCTTATCAATCTCGTCGACGAGGAGCTGCTTGAATCGTCGGTAAAACCTACTCCCAACGCTCTGCTTGTCTGAAGGATCCGACTGCAGGCAAGGTCGATCGCTATACAGCGTGCTCGAGTAATAGATGGCGTTGAGTAATAGCTTGTTGGCCCAACGATCACCCCCTCTGGACAGGCTGTCCATGATCGCCGGCCGGTAGGTGAGTAGGTAGGCATAGTGCTGCCGGTTGAAGTGCAGGTCGATGAGATGCTTTGCCAGCTCGGGGTCGCAGCCATCGAGGTCCATCGTGTTCTGTGGCTGGCGAAATATTTGCATCTCCCGCTGCCTCTGGAGAACAGCGTTGCTCACGAGCCTTGCCTTGGCCTCCTCGATGGCGCCTCGCCCACGTTTCGACAGCTTGGACATGTTGTCCTTGTGGGACTTTCTGAGTGTCGGGTTCATCATTCCTGCCAGCCCATGCACGGATGAAGGAAACCCTTGCTCGTGAAAAACCCCGGCAACGCGGGCCTCACACGGGGACAGGCTCTGCTCCATGCCTTGACCGTCGCCAGCAGTGACTTGGCCTTCCTTGGGGCCGGTATGCTTATCTTCATGTCCGGTAGGGTTGGCGCCTGCCGGGCCATCTCCTGGATTATACAGAGCATCCATCTCCATCCCCATTCCCATCTCCATCTGCGGTGCAGCCTCCTCCTGCTGGAGAGGGCCCGCATCTTCCGCTTGAGGGGCAACGAACGATCCATCCTGAGCATGCAATGCTTGTCCTTCCATTGATGCATTTTCGGGGGGACTATGACTTGGGGAATCAGCTCCAGACGTGCCGCCAACCCCCTTCAGGGCGGGAGAGCCGGGCAGGACCACTCCCATGGAAGACATGTGCTCCAGCATCATAGCCATAGTGTCCTCAAGAACCTGCACCCGGGCTCTGGAAGGCCGCAGGTCCTTGCGAGCATCCCTGGGATAGACGCAGTCAAGTGCCGTGGCCTCGCAATCGCGACATTTTGGCCGCTGCCCGTCACACTTGATTTTCTTGGCCCGGCACGGCGTGCATGTCTTGCAGGTCGAATTCCCCCTCTGCGTGGAGCGACAGTCTTTCGGACTCTTGTTGGATGTC